GTAGCTCCACTAAAATATCCTTTACGGTCTCAAATATTGACAGTCTCCGTTGTATCTCATACTGCACCCCTCAGTCACTCAGAAACTTTTATTGCAGTGTTATAAATTTAAGCTAACACAACCTTCTCGTTTCATATTGTGTGCACCTGCAGAGGTTTGAGGGCAGCAATAGTACATTATTAAATTAATTCAGAAGATTATTCAGACAGAAAGAGCTCCCGGCTCTCCATAAGGTTCAGAAAACCCTCAAGTTTATGCTCAGAATCCCAGTGATGAATTATACATCTTTTCTCTTGTTCCGCAGTAGAAAGGAACGCATAGACTTCCACATACTGATAAGTTCAGTATGATTATGCATTATCTATGTTGTTCATGATGTGCTTGCAATTAAAAAGCAATCCTTCCAAATAACCTGCTCATTTATTCACGAAGCGCAACATTCAGGAGGAAGAAAACTTCCTGACGTTGATAAGATTAAATTCAGTGTGAACTGTTGAGTCACATTTTCAATTAATTTATAGTCGCAGATATTTCATTTACAATATTTGTGAAAGAATTTCAGTGTCAAAAGATCATTCATATATTCAGGCAATTATTTGGCTTAGTGTGCATTTAATACGTCTGTAAATTTTAGCCTGCTAATGACTTAAATTTATCACGTACGCTGTTGAACTGTAATCCTCTGCGGCTATTTTGGCTCAATCGAAGGCTTTGCTTCATAGTTTTACCACACCCAGACTCAATTTCCTTTATGGGGATTCTTTGTAACAGGAGAGGAGGTTAACATGAGTCCAAAGGATGAAAATATCAAGTTTTATGATTCTCCTCTGGGCTGCATGATGGGAGTTCTGATATATCCTCATCTTTTTTTTATTGTCATCACTGATTTGTGAACATTTGGCAAGTTCATAAACATTGAAAATCCCATGAATGTAGCAAACAATAAAATGTCTAGATCTGTCACATAATTTACACACAGGTTGATGGTACCAGTGTTCCCTGCAGGCTTCAATAGTTTGAATCTCTCGTGGTCTATTCAGTGATGTGCCGTTTATGTGTTTGAACTACTGGGGCTTTTACTGTTTATTTGCGGATATGAGACGAAGCTAATTAAACCGGAGTGACTGTGAGCGTCCCTGCAGCACAAACGTCAGGACTGACAGTAATTATGCTTTGTAATCTACATACAGGAAGTCTATCTCCTTTTGTCAGTCTGATTGTGTGGATTTGTTTGATGTTTGTGGACTGGTCTTATAAATGGATAAAAGCATAAAATAAAAACCTACCACCAAAAAAAAAAAAAAAACAGCTGTTGAGTTCGTTAGTTCACTGTAACAAAATGAGTGTAATTTTAACTGTAAAATATTGTAAAATGTACAAGTAAAAAAGGCAAATCAAATTTTGAAATGGAAAAACTGTAAACTGACATTCCCAGAATCCTGTGTGTGACACTTCACATTTAAAAGTATTTAATTTGAATAATTATGTTTCTTAGTTTATCACATTCTGTTGTTTAATGAATGTTGTTGCATTATTTTAATGTCAGGTGTGTTAGCTTGAATGACTCTATGCACCTTCGGTATAGTGTAATTCAGCTTGTGGAAAGGCTATTGTGATGAACTTCTTCATGATTCTTCATGTGGCTTCTTCATTTACCACCTGCATTATTATGGTGGTTGTCACTCAGTATATGTTAAAGGTACAAAATTGATTTTAGTAGCAGTGTGTGTTTTTGGATTTACCCGGTTTAAATAGCAATTTTTCTATTTGTAAATTACAGTTTTATACTGTAAAATTTACAGGTTGTTCTGTAAATATGTTTACATTTTTACTGTATTTTTTACAGATTGGATTTTTTTTTTAACAGGATTTTTACAAACAAGTGTTGCTCAAAACCTGGTCGAGAATATTTGTGTACAGTTGAAAGAACTTATTATACCTTATAGTATTATACCCAAAAATGAAAACATAAAAATACAAATTTGAATAAAATATGGTAATTTGTGAGTCATTACGTCTATTTGAATGTAATTGGTTCTTTGATGTCTCATGACCAATCATCACTCATGTCAAACCTGATGCATGTCGCCAAATTTGATTTGAGAGTTACTCTAACGTCCAAAACTTTGGGGTCGAAATGAATACTTTTATTCAGCGAGGACATATTAAATTGATCAAAAACTGGGAGTAAATACATTTATAATGTTGTAAAAAAATTCCAATAAATGCTGTTCTTTTGAAATGTATATTTATCAAAGAATCCTAAAAAAATATATGTATTTTTTATATATATAGCAGCATGAAAATCATCATTTCCAAAGTCATTTCCATTTAGACCCATACAAGGTTGGAACGACATGAGAGTAATGATCTTTTAACTAGTTTTAGTGAAGTGTGAACCAAAGGCGCATACTTTAGGCTTGGTGCCTGAAGGCAACAGAGCCTTGAGCCAAGGTCTTCACTGTTGGGTCACCTACATTCAGTGGAAAAATTTAGACAGCCTAATGTGTTTCAGTTTGGCTGAGGGTTAATTACTGAACCTACTGAACTGTTACCAGGGTTCATTTTTGTTCCGATAATGAAACCGTGAAACAAAATCTCTCTTTAACTGAGCGATGGATCTTTTATCATACTTTTCAAATGACTTGGATTAAGGAAGCTATCTTTTGTCTCCCTTTGTAGTACACAAACAATATGGAACAAAAAAAACAAGCTATGAGTCAGAGTGTAGCTGTAAATGAAATAAAGCTGTGACATGATGTGAGGATCTTCGGTGTGAGGATCTTTCTTCTTAGCAAAAGGCTGTGCTGTTTTTAAGCTTCCTTGCATCATGAGAACTACGATCTTGTGACTGACTATTATATTCATTATAAATGGGGGAAAAAATAAAGATTTGTGGCACATTATAATTTCTAGCATTATCAAGGCAAAATGTTGATGTATTTTCAATGCTAGCCAATGCATACAGTGTTCAAAGACACATTCACAGAGAGGGTGAATTGCGGAAACAATGACCTCCCCTTTTGAAACCACACACTGCTTCTGCTTTGTCAATAGCATCAAACATGTATGGACTTGAGGTGAGGATATACTATAAATAAGCAGGAAATTTAGTTTTGTATTTTAGCACTGTACCTCTGTGGAAATGTCCTTTGATGTACTTGACTCTGAGTGCCACTAAAGGGGTCAGCGTTTAACATCAGCTGTCTTATTTGAAAAGAGTGGCTGTCAGAGGACAATCAACATCTGTGACATCGATTGTCCTCTTGTCTATTATGAGGAGGTGAGGCAGGATAGCAAATTCAAAGCCCACTGCTGTCAACAAAACACACACACACACACACACACACACAGTAGTGATGCTTTCGGTCCATTTACATTATGTTAGTGCTTTTGTGTCTAAGAGCAACAACCCTGCATCTATTTTTGGCTCCGGGTCAGGAATACCTCAGATGTTAGCTGGTATAGTATGAATCCTGATAGTATGCAGCCTAATCCATGACAGAGAGGTTCTCGAAAAGATGGATTGCCATAAAGCTGGCTGGGGACTGTACCGCCTGTCTGACTGAACGGGGGGATGTGCACTTAAAGTAAAACACACTGGAGATGAGAATATCTAAATATCAGCAGGGGAAACACATAGAGAACAACTGAGATGTCTGGAAACATATATATATATATATATATATATACGCACAGCATATATATATATATATATATACAGTATATATATATATATGTGTGTGTGTGTGATACATACATACATATATATATATACACACACACACACATATACCCTTTTGAAAAAAACCTACTCCAAATTGTATTTAAAATACGTTTATTTCATACTAAGTACAAATACATTAACATATTTACTGACATATCGCTTTAGACTAACTGATATAAATATTATAATTAAACTTTATTTGGAGTACTTCTTTATTGCACAATGCACATTTCTAAATGTTAAGCCTAGTGTGTTTTAATATCACTATTAGTAAGGATAGTAGGATCACTGTATAATATCAGTCTTTAAATGCAAGATATTTAAAGTGTACCTAAAGTATACTTGTAATAGTTCCACTTTAGCACAGTCAAATATACACAAGTATATCTTTATTTGAGCTCAGCACTATTTCTGGATAACTAAAGTGCATTAAGTACAAAATTAGTTGTTCCAATTTAGCAGACTTTAAGTATACCAATTTAGTGTACCAAAAGTGCAATTGCAGGGTAGTTAAGCACATATGTAAATGTATTTGTAGTATACAAATACATTTTAGTATATTTATTTTTCACTAGGGTTAGTATATTGCTGTTTTCAGTTTGCTTCCCATGTGTCGTACAGTTAAGCGGTTTTAATCTTGTGTTTCTGTAATGCATGTAAGAAGTGCAGATTTACGGTGTGATTCAGTTGTCAGGCGAGTGTTGCATCACAACACCATCTGCTGGTGGCCAGGATCATGTCTGAGTCAACATTTTCCCCACACAATGTGCATTGGCAGATTTTTCATGTAGTATAAGGCAAAAAAGTCATTTATTAAAATTTGAACATCTGTTTTAGTCACTGCTGACTGTTTTTCATGTAATTTTTTATGGTATTTGATTGCTTTCAAATGTTGACTGAGGTGAAATGGGTCCACTTTAGAAACAAATCACTAAAAATGTATTTAATTAAAAAACTACAATAACAATGAATGCTGTTTTATTCTACATGGTCACCCCCTTATGATGGCTGGCATATTGAAATCATATGACCAGTTTTCGGATACAGTATAAATACATCATAGGTGATAAATATGCCATTTGGCAATGGTAAACAAACTTTTTGATTTCAATGGAAAAAATATAATTGTTATATTCTCGCCCTGTTTTTCAACTAAATCCAACAAAAAACATGTGTGATGCCAGGACAGTAGTTTGGTATTCAGACCACCAGCTGTACTATGCAGGTGCAAGAAATTGAGTTTTTAACTAAAATTGTCTTTTGTCCCTTTCAGAGTTGACAAGACATTTTCCAGAGCCAGAAGTTTGTGGTAAGTACTGTCTTTTTCATTTAACGTAGCCATAGCCTGTTCAGCTGTTCCAGAAACCACAAGCTTTTATGCTGTTTTGCTCAGGGGTATCAGCCTGGAAAGACAATTTCTGTCTGCTGTAAGTGACTTGGAAGGAAACCATCCAAAGCCCTTTAGTGTAGCTGCTTCTTCCTTCATAATACCATTTAGATTTCATATTTGTTTTATTGCCAATTTAAAGCTGCCTGTTGAAATACCGGTAACCCCTCTGGTTACTGTTGCAGGGTTGTGCACCATTCAGAATTAAATTTAGAAAAAGCATTTTAAATTTGAATTCAATTCCTGAGTTTGAATTAAGTTCATTTAGTGAAACATGAAACAGAATTGCTTTACAAATTATCATTCAAATGGATTCTTATAGTTCTTAACATTTTTCAAAGAAATTCAAAAAGTTTGAACATTTGTAGACCTGATGGATGGATGGATGGATGGACGGGCGGACGGACGTATAGATGGACAGATTGATTGATTGAGAGATGGATAGAGGGATAGATAAGATGCACAGAAAGGAGGATAGATGATAGATTGCTAGACAGACAGACAAATTGATACAGACGTATAGACAGATAGATACAGTAGATAGAATCTAATTCCAACTGATGAGATAAAAGTCAATTCTAAAATTCTACTCGGTATCTTAAATGTCAAGACATGTACGGTTGATTGACTCTGCTCAGGGAATGCCACAAAGCTGTACAGATGGAGGACAGCCAGATGAAGTGTTTTTGATGCATGCAGTGGTTTTGGGATGAGAACGGTCCGGAGCGCAGAGGACATGCTGCAGTCTTGTTGCCACAGCGACAGCAGACAGCTCTGCAGTGTTGGCAGGACAGTCGCTGAGGCACACATGCGGCACTCTCACGCCCCTGTCTGTGTGAGTGAAAGTGTGTGCTGGCAGGCCGTGTGTAAAGGATGCCAGGTGCAGATGGACAGCAGCCTGAAGGTCAGTCCTAACAAACCCATCGGATAAACCAGATTCCCGGCTCCGATGGCATCCGTCCCTCCACGTGTAACCTCAGGACCGGCCTGCATCAGTCTACGCCTCTCTGTCAAACAGCTTGCAGGACGAGAGACCTAACGCGTCCATCCTTCTTCACCGTTTTCTTCTGAAGGCACAGAGCAGTTGAGGACAACTTGAGGATAGATCTTCAGACTTATGACACTGACGTTTGATGGCAATGGCAGCGTTTAACATCACGCATCAGTGGCTTTGTGATGGGATTTGACAGTCAGTCTGTTGCTGGAACTGCGGTTTGTTTATTAACTTTTTGGAGCTTGTGTGAACAGGATGCAAAACGTTCTCTATCATCAGCCAACCTATGCATTTAAGTAAGGCAGAGAACTCACAAGTATAGAAAATGTATCATTAGGTGATATCTTTTTTTTATTCTAACTGATTAGAAACATAATCCAGCGAGAAATATCATTGGAAAACTCAATTTATAGTATATATACTGTTAATATAGGTAGTAATTCCTCAAGAAGATATGCAAATGATAAAAATTTTTGAGTCTATGGATGAGTCTGGGTGGAGGAAGACATTTAAAGGAAGAAGACTCATTAGCTGTCAGAGCAAGACAGGATCTGACTATTCTGTGATCCAGAAATAGGCCGTAATCCCATATATAGGCCCTTTGCAAGTGACTGCTTGAGACCTTCAGTAAGGAAGACTGATCTCAATTAGCCTGACAGATCCACAATGCCTTGCTCTCCCTTTCGAATCAGGAGGCCGAAGAAGTTCTGGTGAGTTTAAATTCGGAATGGTCTTTCAATGGCCGATCTGAATATGAAAAGAATGTAAATTTTTCACCAGCGGTGCAGCGAGTTTTTGTTTAATGGTCATTAAGTGTGGATTGTGCTCTTGGACGTGGCATACATTAGCATGAATGGATTTAGATTGGTTTGCTTAATGAAGGCACCTTGCTTTGCGTCACAAAGCAATCTGTGCGTAGATCCAGCAGGAATGCTTCAATATTCAGCGATGATGCTGCATTAGAGTAATGGTGCTGCCTACTGTGTGTCAATCAAGAGACTTTTATCTGTTGATAAGGCATCTTTATCTCCCTGTCTCTTTCACTTGCACTCTCACATTCAGACTATTTCTCTCTCTTTGTAACATATGAGCAATCTAGGTCACTGTCATTATGTGCATATAACTGCATTAGCTTTAGGTCTTGGGGTAAAGACGGCATGAAATTGCCTGAGTAGCATAGTATTCGTTCCTGTGTTGATGCATTTCGAATTGAAATGAAGTTTATATTATTGAAGACATAGCCAGTTGCCTTGTTTGTCACAGCCATGAACTTTGATACTTGCTGCTAGTCTGTTGCATGTAGCATTAGGGACATTAGGGCATTAGGCCTGTCTAAAAAGACACCTGACATACACTGTATATGTCAGAAGAGACTTTTTAGCAAATATTGAGCCATCATTCTTATTTTATACTGATTATTTGGGTGCATGTAAACATAGCTGTTGTAGAGAGCATCTGATTGGATGAAAATCTGAGTAGTGCAAGGTGAGTCATCAGTATTTTGGGTTTGTTTTCCCAGAAGAAAAAGAATGAAAATAACAGTGATGTGTTAAGTGTCATTATACGACTCTTAACACATCACTGGTTTTGTCAATTAAAACTAAAACTATTGCAAATCATTTTCAGTAAATTAAATAAAATATAAATATTCGCTGAAAAAATTACATTTAAAAAACTTTTACGAAACGAAAATTTGAAATTGTCTTTAAAACTAACAAAAAAATAAGTTGAAGTATTAAATTATTAAAACTGAAATTAAAATAAATTAAAGCTAGTCAGAATTAGCTTTAATAGTGCATATAAATAGCAAATATGAAAGCTTGTTTCTGCCACAGAATAAAAATAAAAAAAAAGTAATTTTATTACTTTAGACTTTTTATCTCACAATTCGTACTTTTTTTCCCTCTATTGCGAGTTTACATCTCGCAATTCTGAGTAATATTGAATTGCGTGATATAAAGTTGCAATTGCAAGTTATAAAGTCAGAATTGTGAGATATAAACTAACAATTCTGAGAAAAAAAGTCAGTCTTAACTCACAATTGCGAGTTTATATCTCACAATTCCAAGAAAAGAAGTCAGAATTGCGAGATATAAACTCGCAATTGCGTGTTATAAAGTCAGAATTGCGAGATTTAGACTTGCCATTGTGATATAAAAAGTTTCAATTATCTTTTAAAATGTTTTATTCTGTGGCGGAAACAAGCTTCCATACGTAACAAAATGACTTGTTATTAAGATTAAACTGAAAATATAAATATATTATACTAGTATAGTAATATACTATAAAATAGTATAATAGTATATAAATAATGCTTAAATAACACTGTAACTTAAAATAAAATATTTAGGCTGTAAATATGTCATTAAAACATTATTTTAAATAAATTATTTAAAGGGATAGACAACTGAATACTCCAGCTGGATGTTTTGCAACTTTGTACCATATTGTCTTCCCCTTGTCTAATACCAGACCAGCGCTAAATCCGGAAGCACTTAGCGAACAATACGGCTCTCATGTTTCAGGCTGCTGGTCCCACACTATATCTAACCCCATCTCAGGTCAGCTAAACCCATTCAAGGTCCAGAGAGACTCACCTCTCTTCCAGTAGTGGAAATGATACATGCGCTGTATATATTTCCAATTAACTCAGTGGACTTTAGCTACATGCTTTTATTAATCTCTGAATGACCTACGGCTATGAGAAGGCGGCTGACATTCTGAGGGGATGTTTGAAAGCAATCAAGTGTCTTTCCTGTTCCCCCTTTTTTACTTCCCTAACATCAAAGATACATCCCTGGCTTTGATAAAGTGCAGAAATATGTCATGTCAGTACGGAGTGACGGCTGTTCATTTTACTCTTCTTTCATCACAAAGTGTAGGTGTCACAGTGAGGAGAGATGGTTTCCTCAGACTTTCCGCTTTTAAGTCATAGTCAATCTTTTCTATTTCACGTTATATAATTGAGCACATTTGTCTAACCGATGTAGAGCTGAGTTCTGTCTGGCATTATTAAATGAAACAGAGATGCTTGAGGACTATTTTACAATAATACAGGGCACACATTGTCCCCCTGTCCCAGACAGCCCTCTGGGAAACAGGTTGTGCAGATTGTTTTTGCTTATATTAATTATTTAGCACTGTATATGTATAGCGATATACATATACATTTTCTACAAAACATAAATGAACTCTTCTTTTACTTCTAATACACAATGTTCATCAGGTGTTATCACCAGGTGTGGATTTGCAGTTTATTTAATATTAATGATGGCTATAATTGCTCATTTTACCTAAAAAATCACTAAAGTTTTTAAAGAAAAACTTGACATTTAATAAGATGCATTAGTAGTAATGTAATTGATTTTATAATTTAGCTTTATCTGCCCTCTTGTGGTGTTGTAGATTGTGCAGCCACATCTTTTTGTTGTCAAAGTTGTCACTTAGTGAAAATAGTGGTACTTTTTTGTTTGTTGTTCATATTTTTGAGTATAAGTTATTGTGTACATTAATGTTTGTTAAAGAGCAGCTAGAACATTCCTCTAAATCTCCTTTTGTGTTCCATATAGAACCAAAATCATGTTTAGTTAATGGACCCTTCTGCTCCTCTACAGTTTGAGCTGCAGGAAAGCTTTATTTAGAGTATTGGTGCTTGCAACGCCAAGGTCAGGGGTTCGATTCCCAGGGAAAGCAAGAACTGACTGATAAGAATGTAAATGTGTACCTTGAAATGCAATGTAAATCGCTTTGGATAAAAGCGTCTGCCAAATGTGTAAATGTAAATAAGTCTCGGAGAAGCAGAATGTTCCTAAATACTTTTTTCCTGTAGTGATGCTCCGGAGAATTTTGACACTTTTTCTCACTCAGACTCTGAGCTGCCACAATTCATAGTTTTAGAGCAAAGAAGTGGGCTTTGTTCAAGTTTAGG